AGAAAATCACTAGACATGCTTAAGGAATGGTTAGCTTTGGCAAGCAGAGCTCAAAGGAGGAAGAGGAAGGAAGTGAACTGGACCACATTCTGCATTGCTATGTTCTTAGCAGAGTCTCATAAGCCTTGCCAAGAGCATATGAAATCTGTTGCATTTGCTGACTTTTGTTATTTAAACTATTGACAGAATAATGCTTACAGAGTGCTGGAATAAATAAAAGATACAAGGTGCATAAAGAAAATGAAAGACATGTAGAACTTGGTGAAACCAGGCAGAGCTCTGATGTACATGGAAGTGTGGGAGGGATTCTCTGTGCATCTTCATTGTTCCTCCTTTCTCAACAGAGGGATGACATTGATGCATCTGCATTTACTGCAACAGCAAACCAGCAGCTATGCTGAGTTTGCAAGGAGTTAAGCAAGGGACTCTTAAAGCCGTACAAATGTTTCTGGTATAAGAGCTTTGTATACAAAACTATTTTGAATGGTAATTTTACAGCCTCCAAATAAATACAAACATTGAGTAAATCTATATAATTTATATAATCTATATAAATTAATATAATTTATATAAACAACGTTTTTATTTCCAAGAATAAAATTCTTCAAAACATTTATGCCGAATCAAACACAAGCTGGGCCTTGAAAAATCTCCACAATCAATAGTGTTAAATTTGCTTCATGATCTGGGTAACCTACAACTCAGTAGGACATTTTCACTACTATACCTGCCTTGATGAAAAACAGCAAGCTTCTCCACTAAATATAGAGCTTTGCTTTTGCTGCAGTCATTAAAATACCACATAGAATGAAAACTCTGATTTCTCAGTCGATATAAGAGTGCACAACTGAATTACAACTTCTTAATGAGAAGTTAAGCATCCAAGTTGCCCAAGTGCTTTTGTTGCTTCAGTGTATTTTGCAAAAAGTGGATTTGATATGGCAGAGATGCTGGAATTACAGAAGCTGTAGCATCAAAAGGGGATGTTCCAGAGGTTTGGTATTCTTAAGGTACTTTTAAATAACCTCTCCAATAATTACCCTCCAACACTCATCATTCCTTTTTTAGGTTAATGCATTAGCATCTCTGAGTGTTCATTGACATCAGGGGAGTGCACATCAGACTGCTCAAAGACATGGTTAAATCAATGGGTCCATTCAAATATTTAAAGTGAAGTTCTAGGATGCCATGTGGTTGCTAGCTTTGCAATATTGAGACATGAAGTAGGATAAAGAGAATAAAGAAAGTCATGACATAGATAAACTGAGAAGAAATTTACAGTAAAAGAAATCTAAAACATTTACAGACTGATAAAGGCAACATGAAAATTCTTTCATTGTACAGCTGCTGAATAGAAAGGCATATGCTTCTTTCCCTAAATAAAAAGTCTGGATGTAACATTAATTTTCAGTTGCACATCTAAAATATGTAATCACTTTATTGCTTGCTGCTCTCTTGCTGTAGTGTCTTGTTACACTATGGAACCCTGAAACTAAGACAGTTGTGTCTTTATGATGCTTCTTTCCTTTGTTATCCTCTACAGTGTTGTGTGTGCTCAGACAAAAATAATTGTAGAAGAAAAAAACTTATAATGACTAAGTTTTGATCAGGTTCTGCCATTATAATGGTAGAATAAGATACAGCCCTTGATTTTTCCATTTTCTTTTTTTTTTTTTTTGTTATTTATCATTTGTCACCTGACAAAATAGATTGACAAATGTTTGCCTGTAAAAATTTACCAATGCCTGCAAAACATACAATTAATTTATAGGCTTCTTTGTTATAATGTTTTTAAGACAGGAGTGCTAGAAAATGTCTCCAGGTTGCCATACTGACAGCCCTTCCTGTTCACTGCCCAGGGTCATACACTTATAGGATACTGCATATACAGAAGACCTCACATTCATCATAGGCTGTCATAATCTATCAATCTGTACTTGTAAATTATATAGAGTCTCTCTTGAATCTTCACAGATTCCCAGCCCTTATTTTATCCTGTGTCAAGAAATTGAGACAATCACCTTGAAGGGAGATGATCCTCCCCCTCTCCTCTCCCCTTGTGAGACCCCACCTGGAGTACTGCATCCAGGTCTGGGATCCTCAGCACAAGAAAGATGTGGACAGGGTGAAGCAAATCCAGCGGAGGGCAACAAAGATGTTCAGAGTTATCTTGGCTGTAAATAAGGTTTCTCTATATGGTAAAGAGGAGATGTACTGTTCTTATCATGTAAATACAATGCAGAAGGCCAAACACTTTTTTTTTTCAGGCTGTAGTCAACACTCTCAGCCTGTCTTATCATTCTAAAATGCTGCTGCTCAAAAAGTTATGGAGATCATGATGGTAATTTCCCAGCATCCCATATAGCAATTTTTAAGATCAGATATGTTTTTTTTACATTGTCTTGCCCAAGGCAATTCTTGTATTTGTGTTTCTGGAGTATTAGAGTTTCTTTAGATTGGGGGAGGTGCTCTGGGGGCCATCTGATTCAACAGCCTTTTCAAAGCAGGGCCAGTATATACCAGCTCAGTCAAGTTTTCAACTTCTCAAAGGATGGGGATTCCATAGCCCATCTGGGCAACCTATTGCAGGGCTTGACTAACCTCCTGCATAAAAGTTTTTTCATAAATATTCATAATTTCTGTTGTTGCTGCATGTGTCCCTTGTCTCATGTCCTTTCACTGCACATCTCTCAGAGGAGCCCATGTCTGTCTTCTCTACACCCTCCCATCAGCAAGTGTGACACCAAGTGACTGAGCACACATTGCCAGGGCTCTGCCCTGTTGAGAGGTTTCCTGAAGTTCCCAGGCAGCTGAAGGCAGCTGAAGAGACTAAACAAGCATATAGCTGGGGGCTGCTTCCAGTTAGGAGTCCCCAGTCTAGATGTGCAGAAGGAAGCTCTTCATCTCACAAACATCACCAGCAGGTCACCTATTCAACATAGCCAGGGAAACAGAAAGCCATGAAGCTATGAAGGAGAAATTTCCCAGTCCAGTAGAATGAGCAGAGCTCTTCTGGAACTCAAGCATTAGTATTTTATCAACTGACAAATGAGGAGAAAAATAAGTAAGAAATTTTCTGCTAGTTGTAAATGAGTGACATTTCTTTTCATCTGCATGTCTGAATCCTAATAATTAGAACTTTTCAGTAGGTGGTTCTCACTCATAAGCCTATAAACTGGCAGTGAGCTTCTCACCTGTGTGGCATAAGTTCTTTCATTTGCATTCCTGTTTCATGAACATCTCTTAACTTTTGTGACAGACATTAAAAGATGTCGCCTATAGAAACTAGGAAAAGTAGCAAGTAGTTTTTGAATAATAAAAAAACTAGCCTTAATTTTGTTGTGTAGCATCAGCCTTTATACTTCTTTTAGACAAGTGAGAAGTAGAATGTAAATAATTTAATTTTCTTGGTCACTTACAAGCCAATGAAGATAGCATTGGGATGTTAAAGCTATAGGAGCACAATTTATGCATTATGCAGTAAGTTGGCTTCTTGTGCTTCACTTATGAACCGAATAACCTCACAGTTAATAGGATTACACATTATTCCGAGAACAAGAACAGGCCAGTCTTACAGATGTGATCAAGGCAGGAAAAGGTATGCATCATTGCCCTCCTTTTCTGTTCTTTTGTGCTCTGTCATCATGTTGTTCTGCACAAATGCAGCACTTACAACCCATCACCCATTGACATTTTCATTGGTGGGAGTAATATGGGAAGCAAACACATCTATGACGTGAAAAGATAAATGGTCAGTCAGAACATGTCTCTGATTAATGTTCCTAGTCAGTCCTAGATGTGTCTTCTGTTTAGACTGATGCCTGATTTTGGACAGAGAAGTTGTAGCTGTAGCTTTTGTCCATGTTTCACATTAATTATGAGTAAAACTATCACACTACATCTCTGTTTTTTCTGGAGCACATTCCAGGGGACTTCTCTGGATAGAAATGCATAGAGAGCATGCTAGAGCTGGCTATCACGTCACTTAGAAGTAAAACTTGTCATGTGTTCTCATGTGACTCAAGTCTTTCCTTGGAAGTTAATCTCACAAGCAGTAAATCTGTTACTACAGTATTTTCAATTTACACCATTTGGGTTGGGGAATTAAAAAACAAAACTATTTAATCAATGGACCACTGGCAAGCATTGTTGAGCGGTAAATGTTGCTCCAGATACAATACTGCGGGAAAGTTTCCTATATACAAGTTCTAGGTGCTGGAGGAGAGTTTGGGGATTCCTTTCACTCCGTCTTTGGAGGTAAGCCTGTCTCTATCCTACAGCTTTGGGAGGAAAACACAGCTCAGAATAGCCAGGGATGTTCTTTTTCCATTTCATGCAGCACAAATTTAAAAGAAAAAAAAAAAAAAATAATAATAATAAAAAAATAAAATAAAAGTATATGTAAGCAACCACACTGATTATATTATATAGTTTTATTTTTTGTAAGTATTTTACAGGTTGCTCATATGCTTTGACGATTACATTCTTTTCATGACCAGAAATTAGCTCTTTGTTTATAGTGACCTTTTCATGGCAAAAATACTCCAAGACTCAATCTGTTCCTACAAAGCAAGTCTCGGGATTGCAGATGTCCTCCTTCTTTAGAGTACCATGTTACTCTCAATATCGAGGAGTTATTACAGGAATCCTTGTTTTAGTCTAGTCAATACAACTTTCTCTGACTTAGGTCAGATTGAAAGGTTACATTTTTGGCTGCTTTCATCAGGTTTATCATGGGTCACAGCTAATTTCTGCCTCTTGTGGCCAAGATCCTGGGTGAGAGCACTGTACCCACTTCTCCAAGACTCCAGATTTTCTTGCTGCTTTGCCAGATATCACTAGCAGTCCAATTTGGTCTCAGTCTTCTCCCCATTTAGTTGTGTCATTAAACCATAACTTGTTACATCATTTATGTTTAGCACAGCAGCTGGCTCCCAGATCTGTGTTCCCCGATATCCTCAGGGCTATCTCCTGCTCTTCTGCCTATGGCAAAGCAGTACGACAGGAACTCAGCAAATCTTCCTTTGCATCAGCATCTGGTATGAGCACATTTTCTACCCTTTCAGTTCTCTGTCTGCTTCTTCCTGCTTTCCTAACCTGACTAGCATTTTTGGTCATGCTCAGCAGGTTTGCAGAGGGTCCTGGACATTCAGGTCCCAGCATGGCTACCCTGTAACTTTCTTGTGTCAGATGGGGCTAAGAAAACCTTTGCTTTCTTCCATCTCTTTTTGTTTCCTGGTAACATTGGAGAGGGTGCACACCAAAGGAAAGATTGCCTACTACTGCTTCCTAGTTGTCTAAACTTGTTTCTTAAAACACTGTCCTTCAGAGAGATCTCTCCTGGTCTCCTCAAACATACTCAGGCACTTCCCCGGATGGCATATGAAAGCAGCAACCTTCATTTCCAAACATTCTGCTCTAAACCTACTGCCTGATTATTCCTCGTATTATCCATCAAACTGTAGTTAATAGTAGTAGTAGAAACTTCAGTTTCAAATAGAAAAGTATCTACAGAGGTATTTAGTGTTTGCTTAATATTCTGCATTCCAGGAACATATATGAGAAGGTACATTCCAAGGAGTAAGACAAAGGAGTAGGTAAGAATCTTACACAGTAGACATAAATTATTCATCTCTATTTCCTCAAATTTCCTGCAACTATTTATGATTCAATATTGGGCCAGAAGGAGGGAGTCACCGTTACCTTCAGACAATCAGAGTTATCAACCCTTTGTCTATATTGTGGACCAGTCACATTTGCTATCACTACACAAAGGCACAGTTTCTGCCTCCATATGCTCTGTGTTCAAAACAGGTAAACATACAGAATAGGCAACGTCTTATTGCTATCACACCTTCCAAACTTCCGCCCACATCCCTGTGCTGTGCAGAATCAGTGAGCCATCAGCTACCTTGAGCTTCCTAATACACTGTTGGTCCCTTCCTTACAGGTTTTCTGTTCAGCCGCTGGAGAGATGCTATTACATTTCCTTCTGGAATGCAAATTGCTCTCCACAATAAACACCTTTTTTTGATTGCTACTGATTTTTCTGCTGTAAAAATATATGATAGACCCAAATGTAGTAGCAACAAGCCCCAGACGGTAATTAGAACACAAAGCTTAATCAATTTATATTGTTATCTTTTGTCCTTCCCATTGTCTTAATCCAGCCAGTCTCTGTTCCTGCTTCTTTGCCAGGAAGTGTGATTTTGGCTTTTCTGTATGGCGCAATGCAGATCTGTGACACTGTACAGAAACATTTTATAGACTGAATATGTGTAATCATGAAGAAAGTTAGTCTCCAAGGTTAATGTAGTAGAAATGAGATGTAAATAGTTACTGAAGTGAATAGGCAGAACTGAAGGGTTTTTTCCCAAACTGCTGACTCAGACAGAGTGTACCTTCAAAAGCACAGACTCTACATGCTTTGCATAATTGGAAATAGATTTCTGAAGTCATTGTTTATATAGCTTTTTATGACAAATGAGATTTGCATATTAATTTAAAGTTAAAAATTATTCTGTCTTATCAAGAGAAATACTTCCATATTCAGTAATTATAAAAGCAGAGAAAAAAAAGGACAGGCTTGAAGCTGGGACAGACCTCTACATCATGCCAGCAGTTTATCTAAAAAAACATAGGTTTTCATTTTTAGTAATGATTCATCCTGTAAAATGGAAGAATTAATTTGCTTTTTCAATAACACCTGTATCTATTTGTATGAAAGCAAGTTCATTGCTTTACAGAGAAGAGAGGATGCATAACAAAACAACCTAAATCAAATATTACCAATGAAAGACAATAATGTTGCTTTCTTTCCTTTTTGAATACAGAAGAAAATAAGGAAGGGGATTTTTGGTTTGTTTCTTTTTATTTTAGTGTTTCCTTTAAGTATAGAACTAATCTAGGTAATTCATCTTGTCAGCAGTTATTTTGTGTGCTAAGGCAGATGATTTACCATGGGCCAAATGTATATTTAAGAAAAAACGAACTTTTTTGAAATGGAAATGTTCATTTGGGGAAAGTTCATTAGATAGTTTCCTATATTTGGATTCCAGATAGATTCCTCTATCTAATAAATTTCACTAAGTTTCGGTTATTTACCTTAGAAACACGTGAGTAAAAGCAGTATAGTTGGACACTCTGTGATTTTAACATGATTTGTGGTCTTTAGACTCTTGAGTGAAATTTTCCAAGGTGCTTATTTGAGGCCAACACTGTGCCCTCAGTCAGTACTGAATGCCAATTGTGTTCACTGGGAGCATAATGAGGCCAATAGAGAGCACAT